ATACTTATATTTAATACACTTATGTTATATAATCTATAAGTATTTTAATACTTAAAATATTACTTTTATATATTAAATAATATAATTATAATCTATAATAATTTATATATAATACTTAAAAATAAGTGATACTAAGTTAGTATTTTATATGCTTATGATATTTCTTTTATATGATACATAAACATATTAGCTACTCTGGTGAAATCAGTGGGATCATGTCACCAAATGCAGACAGGATACATGTTCAGCCAACATTCTTTATACTCAGTGCTGAGAAATAGTTACTGTAGCACTGTTAGAGTATTGCTATTTTCACCCTAAGTATATATTAAAAATAAGTCAGTGAATTTCTTCCTAAAATTTCGTTTCTCTCCGTTCACTATAAAGTGAACTTCAGATGAGCAGCTCAGGTTACTCACATTGTGCACATGTGAAATTAGAACAGAGTATTAACAGCTCTGACCAGTCAGTTGCTGGTGACCTTTAAAGCGTGTAGTTTTACACTACCTGGAATAACTAGTATTCCACCTGAAAAGATGTTTAAGATAATATTTGATACTGTTTCTAAAACACTGTAAAAAGTTAAACGAAAAAATTTAATAATTGACATTTCTGCAGCTGATTATGTTCTATGCCATGTCTATTAGGAAACCACTAGTAAGTCATGATGAGAGCAGTAGGAAGCCCAGCATTAGCACAAGAGCCAACCAGAAAAAATGCTACCTTAGCTCACTCAATCATTGTGCCTCATACAAATCCATTCATCAAACTGCTGTTTATCAAATAGCTGGACAGCAAATATTTTTGAAGTCAGAAGTATGATGAAGATATACAACTGCATATCAGATGCAGATTTTCTTCTTTTCCTGTTCATGATGCAAATTCTTTGAACTCACAAAAGTGACATTTTCCACTTGTATTACTTTGTATACTTGAATTTGAAAATACACTTAGGTTATTGCACAGTAACATATTTTGGCCCCATGCAAAATAAAAGAACTTCAGTAACATTAAATCTGTCATACTGTGTGAAAAGCATTTTTATCTCTCAACTTACCCAGTGTATGCTTTGTGTGTTTGTATGTTTTCTAATTAATGAAAATTTACAGGTTTACAGTACATGCTGTGCCAAACTCTGTTCCCAAGATCCAGTCTGAAAAGTTGGATTAAAAATTAGAAGTCCCTGCTGACTTATGAGACAGGTGTTAAAGGTTCCTTTTTCTCCTCATTTTCACAGCCGAAAAGGTCTCTGTGGTGTTGCATTTCTCTTTGTTTTAAAAGAGGATTTTCTACTACTAGTTAGTCTTTTTTTTTTTTTTAATACTTGGCATGTTGTGTCATTTTACATTCTTTAGATATGGAAAAGCACAATTGTTTAGACAAGCAATTTTCCTTATGCATATTATTTCACTGCTTACATAGTGAATCACACTGTCATCACAAAACTGCCTATCATAACACTGATAAAATTTAGATAAGCGTTATCAGAAAGTTTGATTGAAGTCATGAACAGCCTTCTTACTGTGTAGGTGTAGCTCATCATCAATTCCTCAACTGTACCTCTCCATACACAGATAGTGAAAACTCTGATGGAAACCCTACTTTCTGTTTATCAAATTCAGCTCTCAGAGAGAGGCAAAGTTCACACTTGGTCAGTTAAATGTTACCTACTACACATGCTTGAGCCTGTTCCCTGATGCCATTGTCTGCAAAGAGTTGCTAGCCTGAGCTTGAAGCACATATTAAAACTAGAAAAATTTGCTATTCAATTAGTTGATCAATTTTGAAATAGTTTTCCAGGTTTAAACAAACCAAGAGGTAGTTTCTGACCAACCTGCAGTAATATCATCCATTAAAGTTGGTCTCAAACTCTTCGGGTTTGGGCAACTGCTTTTCCTTAGACATTGATAATATAAACAAAGTGCACATATAAATACAGAACAAAAATGAGAAGTGGAACTTTATTATAGGAAAAACAGGACCTTAAATTTTTCTCAGGATTTCGGTAATTTTAAATTTTAATTTTAAAACTACTGCAAAGGAGGCACTTTCAGCAAGAAGGTAAGAATGCAGGCTACAAAGAAATCATGTGTTAGCAACAGTGTAACTCCAGAATCCCAAAACTCTAAACATTGGGTTCCTCTTCAGGAGCAGACATTTTACCATGGTGTCCACAACCACTTCGATCATAATTACCCTGCATGGTTTTACATGAAGGAATTTTGTAAGACATTACTAATGACTGTTTGACAATTTAGTGCTAAAAATCTTCATTCTCCTAATGCCCTGTTAGAAATATTCTCCTCTATTTTTTGTTGCCATGAATGAGGTACATTGGTAGCACTTAAATAATGCCTTATCATCAACAGCAAATTACTTTGCAAACATAGTAATTCTACATACTTGAAAGTATTTTGAATATTATTTCTGAATTCTTTTGATTGTTAACTACAAACTTCTCATCACTCTCAGCTCACTGATAAGGAACGGCACTACCCCTTCAAAATACTGAATCCAATTTTGTCTTTTCAAATTTCTTAACTGAATATAAATAACACTAACTTTTGTTATTTTCAATATACTTAAAGGAGAACTTTAAAGCTTTTTTTAAAAGCCTTGCAATTTGTTTGTTCACTAAGTGAATCTACAGACTGGTAAATCAGTTATTTGTAAGAGTCCACTGGAAAATGAACCACCTCTAAATGCAAAAAAAATGTTTCCTAAAAAAAATGCCACCCTAGTATCTTTGTCCTTTTTCTTCTACCCATTTGCAATATTACCTTTTTTTCTTATCTGCTGTACTACAGGTTCCCAAAAAAATGACTTGCATTTTTGTTTAACCTTACTTCAAGATTCTGCCTAGAGAAAAATATGTTTATTATATCAACACCAACCTTTTCTTCATGTATATATAGACGTATATGGGGAACCAATAACCCAAAAGACAGTAAATATCTACAAAATCATATATATATTTAAGAATTCAGTGCCAACAAACCTAAGTAATGTTTGTGATCCTCACACAACTCTGACCCCCTGTTAAGCTACATGTGTGTCTACTAGTTACATTCATATGTATGATTAAATCACAATTAGTACAGAAACATTTCTAGGTTAGCCTACACAGTTTTAAATGATTGTTCAGTCTGAGTATTTTAAATCAGCTCAGGTTTCATTTCAAAAAGATTAGAGATGGAAAAAACAGAGTTTTCTGGATAACATAACAGTCCATTTTATCCAAACAGAAGCATTTAACCAATACAGTCCACACACCAGGGAAGGTAAAATAAATGGCGTATGAATAGGACAATTTCTGCGAAAAAAAAATTACAAAAATTACATAGGCTATTTGATTTGAAACAACCAACGCATCTGAAATCACAGAAGTAATTAAGATAAACAACATTTTCTAACAAATTTAATACTACTATATTATTTACTTTCTTATCTACACACTTTGAATAATCCATGAAAAAACTTTAAGAGTTTTCTATTATCAATTTATATGCCTTCTTGACATTTACCATTAAAATACTTCTGGTAAACAATAATAAGATATGTTTTTGAGCAGGTTCACCTACCGCACAAACACAACTGGATACTAAATTAGGAAAGAGAAGAAATCTAAAAGTGACAGAATTAAATTCAAAGAAAAAATTGCAATATTATTTTACAGGTGAAAAGTAAAAATAAAACCTATTTTAAAATATGGCATTCATATATTACACTACACTCCGTATTAGAACTTCAGCTTCCTGACTTTTTTTTTAAAAAGTATACGGTTGACGTAGCAAAACATAGAAAAAAAAAAGTGAAGCCAAACCAAGGGACCAGCTAGCACAGTCAGTGAAACTTTAATGTACTCCTGAGACTTGCACTCTAGAGCCTTGCAGCCTAACACATATGTTTCTAACAACTTTCTCATGAAACCCATTTGAATGTATTAGAGAAAATGCGGTACTAGCTCAAAAGTTCACCTAGACCACCTAGTCCAATGTTATCACTTTGCAAATATCTAATATGTTAAAGGAAGAACATGAGCATAAGCTTAAAGTAGAAAGCAACAGCACACTGAAACAAAAATTCTAATGACATTAGTTCGCTAAGCTTTTCCAATTTGGAAAGTAATAAACTCTATAAAGCTGAAGAAATTATGTATCACAACAAGAAAATACATCATACAATTTTATTATTTGAAGGAATCCTATCCATTGTAATAATGGTTTTGTTAAGTATATGGAACAGAAAATTGAATATCCTAGTTCTGACAGGATCAAATAAAAATCAAAAAAGGAGACAAAGTATAAAAAGTAGAAGACTGTTGTACTGCTTCATTTGTTGAACTATATAAAACAATCTGCTCTTGTATTAATATTTAAAATCTCAGTGGACAAGGCATATAAAACAATCCAAAAAGAAAATAATAAACATAGGTATTACTACTGATTTACTAAACCTACAGCTTGAGTTTCTAATTTAACGGCTATTTAGAAAAAAATTCAAACATGATTATTGTTTTTATTACTTGAAATAGTTTAGTGAAATTTCAAATACTTCCATAATTCTCAGGAAACCAAAACTCTGCATCCTGCAAGCAAGAAAAATTCCATGACTTCAAAAAGAGAACAAAGCCAAAATAAATTCTTATCTGCTTATCATTGGTTCATATTTGCAATATTTTCCTTTGAGCAGCATTTACACTTTTTAAAACAAATTGTGTAATACACAACATTTTTATGAAACTACCTGAAATGACTAACTGATAAGCAGTAATATAGCATTTAATAGCAAATAAGTAAAGTAAACTAAATAATACTAGAAAAATCAAAAGTGGAATAATTTTGTCAGTATTCACTGTAATATTTAAACAGTCAACAAAACAAAAAGAATTTACTACAGTGATAATATTTATAAAGACGAACAATAAATAAACGGTATGTCCTTAGCAGTGCCTAGAAGATATATTTCAGATAATTAGGAACAATGGCATCATATAGTACCTTCCATTGCCCTTTTAAAGAAGACTTTACAGCTTCCACAGGTAAGTACTCCATAGTGGCAACCAGAAGCCTCATCACCGCAGATGAGACAAATCTTCTGGGGTAGTGATTCAAAACTGTACTGAGAACTTTGGCTGGTTTCTGTATCTGGCCTTCAAAAGAAAGAGAATTAAGAGAAATGAAAGATCTGGTTTTGCATGGTTAACTACTTACCTGTATTTTATACTAAAAACTTTATTTTAAAATTTGTAATCAAGCTACAGAAGGACAAGAAAAAAATAAAGTATGACTGCCTTTCAGCGTAAGGGTTTGTCTCTACTATGCACTATAGGAAAGCAGTGGGTAAAAAGCATAAAGTTGTATTTTAATCCATTTAGCTTAAAAAGGTATAATCTAGAAACTTTTTGCTAAAATGTTCATCTTCCTCAGATCAACAACTCTAGTGAGTAGAGTCATAGTGACTGATACTCTTTTTTCCTGTACAGAGACAGAATCAGAGAGAAGTCAATTGAATTTCAAAGGCCTCTTTCACATGGGAAATAACTAAATTTCATCTCAGTTAGAAAAGTCTTTAACAATCAGTTTACCACCTCCCATTCAGTTGCAGCATTCTCAGCAGTAACTAACTCTGATGGGGATATATCAAGGATATTTCCAATTTCTCTCCATCAAAAGGCACAGACTAAGCGAGGTAACCACTGCACTCAGAAAAAATAAGGGATTTCTGCTGAAAATGTAACATTATATGTACGTATTTTTGCACGTATTTCTAGGTAACAGACATCTCGCCATGATAGCACCCAATTTCATTCTAGCAAATCAATATACAAGCGTTTCTGTTTTCTTTTTTTGTGTGAAATCAACTGTTGTTTTTTTTTTTTTTCAAATCGGAAATAAAGTTTTGGAAAATATTTAGGTATTGATGAATATGGTCTCGCTGCCAGTGAGGGTAATCTGGAGAACGCTCTGCAAGCCCCTTTCTGGAGCCGGGCACTGGCTCGGTCATCGGACGGCGCTGAAGCACCGCAGCGACAATAAGCCATCGTCTCCTGGAGCGTTACCGCGCCTGAAAGAGCCGCGAGGTGCCAGCTGCTAAACTGACACTGTGCCAGTCTCACAACGCCCTAGACACCCCGGCGTGCTCGGACAGTGAGGAGAATGGAAACGGGGGCTGCAGGTACTGCCTAAACACCCAAAAAGGCCTTAGCCGAGAGAAACTTCGCCCACCCTTGTCTCGGCACCCCCGGAGCGCCCATCCCGCGGCACGGCCGCCCCTCCGGAGCAGGAGATGCGCGGAGCTTTCCCGCCGCTCAGCGCGACCTCCCGGCCCCGTCCCTCGGCGAGCGCCTCGTCCGCTGCCCCCGTCGCCCTCCTTACCGCGCGTAGCCGAGGTAGGGCGGGCACAGCTGGGGCAAGCCCTCCTTCAGCACGGCGGCCGGGAAGCCCAGCGGCTGGTGCCCGTTGAGCCCCAGGGCCGGGTAGAGCCCCGGCGGCGCGGCTGAGGTGGAAGGGAGGCTGTCGGGCGCAGCCGGCGGCCCATAAGCGCTGGCCAGGAGGGTGGGCTCCGCCTTGTAGAGGACGCACTCCAGCGAGGACTCCTGCCCGGCCCGCGGAGCCGAGGGGTAGTCGGAGCAGCCCGCCGCGGGGGTGGCCCTGCCGCCCGGGTACCGGGTGGCGAGGCCGAGACCCTCCTCTTTGATCTTCAGGACGGGCTGGAAGTCGCCGTAGGCGAAGGACCCTTCCTTGGCATCCCCCGTGGGGAAGCCGTACCCCGGCAGGTCCGGGGCGGGGGGCGAGCATCGCGGCACCCCGCCGCCCTCGTACTCCGCCCCGTCCAGCAGCTGCCGCGTGCGGGAGGCCAGGAAGGCCGAATTGAGGGGCAGAAGCGGCACGTGCAGGTATTCCTGCCCCGGGTCCCCTTCCCGGGACCCGCCAGGCAACGCCACAAGCCCCGGGGCATCGTCCTTGGGGGTCGCGGCGGGACCCTCCGCGCCGCCCCCCGACGGCAGCTTGGCGGCTATCAGGGTATCACCGGGAGGCCAGAGCGGGGTGGGTCGCGGCGGGGGCTGCGACGGACCGGGCGCCTCTGGGGCCGCTTCGCTCGCCTTCTGCGAGGGGCCGCGGCTCATCGGGCCGTCGGGCACCTCCGCTGCCTCCACCTCGAAGAACGACCAGGGCCCCGCGGCCACGGCGGAGCTGGCATGAGCCGTGGGAGCCAGAAAGGTGTCCAGGACGGTGTCCAGAGAGTCCTTGTCCGAGAGGGAGCCGCTCCCCGGCCGGTAGGAGAAGGAGTCCCGGCCCTCCTCCTGTCCCAGCTGCTGCTGCCGCGGCTCTTCCTCCTCCTCCCCTTCCTCCTCCTCCTCCTCCTCCTCCTCGTCCTCCTCCTCGTCGCTGCTCTTGGGGTAGAGCAGCCCGTCCAGGGAGATGTCAATGGGTTCCGCTTCCCTGCGGAAGGGGTCTCGGCCGGGCTGTCCTTGCAGCAGGACCGCCCCGTCTCTGGCAGGCGGAGGCGCTGTGGGCTCCTTGGCCTTCACCTCGGTCATGCTGGCGCGGGTACCGCTGAACACCGACGAGTCGGCGGCTGGGCAGTGGCGGGGGGCGGGCGGCCGGGCGGTGCAGGATGCGGGCGGCTCTTCACATCCTCGACGTGCCCGCTGCGGCCGCGGCACAGGTCCCGCTCACATGGTGCTGCTTTCGCGGGGGCGGCTCAGCCCCGGTCCCTGCCGCCGGGAGAGGGGTGACACGGAGCCGGGAGCGGTGCAGCCTGGAGAGGAAAAACGATGGCAGCGTGTGCAGGGGGCAGGCAGGAAGGCAGGGTTCCCGCCAGGCTCTGGCGGCGGCGGGCGGGATGCCGCTCGCTGCCCCCCGGCTCCGAGCTCCGCTGCTCCCTGGACTGCTTCCCACTGCCCGGGCGGGCTGGCTGCCGGCTCCACGCCCCCTCGTCCGTCCCTCCCTCCCCGCCCCTCTTCGCCGCCAGCTCGGTCCCTTACCAAGGGTCTGCGCTGCAGGGCACGGGCTCGCCCCTCCAGGTCCCACCTCTTTCCGCTGCCTGTGGGCACCGCGGCTCCCCCAGCAGCACTTCCACCGGCTCCACCTCCACTCCGCCTTCCCCTGCCTGTCCTCCCCGTCGCTCGCCGCGCGCATCCCTCTCGTACCTCATCCGGCACCCTGTGCCTTAGGTCTGCGCTTTTTGGCCTATCCTGGCATTCTCTCTGTCTTCTCATCCTTTTCCCTCACCTCTAGGATCGGTGTTCCGTCCTCTCGCTTCACCATCTCCAGAAGTGCTACTCTGGACAAGAGGCTATAAGCCTCTGGTTAGGTCGCTGTTTTGGAGAGAAGAGAACAAGACAAGCTTTACTTATCTGCAGTTGACAATAGTATAGTCTTCCTTTTGTCTGTTTTTCACTGTTCCCTTCACTGTTCACTGTAGTTTTTCGTGGTTGAGCTCTGTTACCGATCCTCTTCTAGGATCCATTTTCTGGTAGCAAAGAAACCGAGGCATTGTAAAGCTCTTAAAATTACATTAAGGTATCTCAAAGCATCCTTTGCTCCAAGAAGAACAATGTCTTTTCTACAAAAGTAGGGGAAAGTGGGGCATTCTTTGCTTCTAAACTTTAATTACTTCGTCAGGGGCATGAGAGGATGTTGAAAAGGGACCTGGTTTACAGGAGCTGGCTGGCCAGCCTGCATATAGCAAGTTATAATTCAGCCCAGGTTAGTTCTGACCAAGAAGCTGTCACCAGCTAATTGCTGCCTGGCATTTTGTATAAAATGATGGCTTTGTGGTAGAACCCATTCAGCTCGATAATACAGCTACTAACTGAAGGGGAAAAAAAAGGCAACACAACCCTTAGTATATTTTTATTATATAGAAATCCAGAAAAGAAACCTGTGTTGAAAGATACGAAGAATAGATTGGCAGAGGAGTAGTCCTCGTGACTTTACGTGGAATCAGTATATTTCTGATATGTAGAGAAAAGTATGCTGTTACATGATCGATTGTGATCTGTAAGTATAGCATGCTTTTCTGAAAAAAAATCTTTTTTCCACAAAACTGTGATCACCACGAAATAGTTGCTTTTGTTATTTTACTTTCAAAACATTTTCAGACTGAATAGGACAGCTTCTCGGGGAGAGAAACATAACTATTTGAAATTATTTCAGTAGCATTTGAAATCATACAGGGCAAGTTTATAGAAGCAGTGGTGTCCCATAAACACTCTTCAATGTGGTGTGTAGTTTCTATTTTATTCTTGGTAAAATACTACTGGTTTATAGACTGCTTTGTGAGTCTGCCTTTTATTCCTTCAAAAATAAACAGAAGAAAATCTTTATTTTTTCAGTATTTAAAAGAATTAAGGCAATGTGATAATAACTAACATTTTAAACCTCAGATGTTATGTGGGCACCTGTCTATACATTTAGGGGGTTCTACAGAATAATGCACCTCCAAGCATACTTGTTATTAGGAGTATTTCTCGAACAGCAGTATTTCACTCTGTAGATATTCCAGGGAAAAAAACTATTTGAGCAGCAAGTACCAAGAGTTGAAGATGTTTTCACAAAACCTGTCAGTGGAACCAATGTAAAAATAATTATTTGAGGAGCTACCTAGTTCTGTTATGACGTGACATTAAACAAATAATTTGAAGTGCTTTTCTGGTTACCAAATTTCTCTTTTTCGTGCTACAATATTTCTCTCTTCTCCCAAACCCGCCTTTTCTCAGAAGGGAGAGAAGTTCCTCTCCAGTACTGTTGATCTCCATGCTCTTTTTGGTTTTCCCCTGATGTTTTCATGCTTAGTCAGCTAGTTGTCACGCCTTTTTATTGCCACTGCCTTGCTTTCTCATTTCCACTTCCCTATATGCACCCAGCATTCATGGTCTGCTGCTTTACAGACATGTGCTCCACAGACATGTTTCCTTACAGTGACTTTCCTTCTTCCTACTGCTTCAGGACTAGGAGAGGTAAAGAGCCACAGATAGCCTGAAGAGGGGTCCTGAAAGGAAAGCATCATTGAGTAGTTTCCACTTGTCTACTAAAATTCTATTCTAACATGGCCATGTGACTGTAAACACCTACATGTTCACCAGAAATATAAATGTTTACTACTTGCATTATTTGTCTAAATGTTAGCAAATAAATGTTGTCCAGGTTTTCTGCTGTCCTGATTTCATTTTTATGACCTGACAAATATACTAATTTCTTTAATAGTAGCAGTAGTTATGCTGAATTGTCATTATTTCAGGAAAATATTTTGGGTTCTTTATCTTTAGAAAATTTATTTGACTTTAATTTATACTGGCTTCACATGATTTCTCTGAACTTTCACTGGAAACTTTTAGTATTTTCTTTACATTATTCTGCCTATAACCCTCATGCCCCATCCCTGGAAGTGTTCAAGGCCGGATTGGATGGGGCTTTGAGCAATGTGATCTAGTAAGAAGAAGAAATTTGTTTCTTTTGCTCTTAGATTTTCCTACATCACTTGGATGCTTTACCTGATATTACTATGATATCACAAATTTTTAATTAGGAACATTTCAAAGTATGCCTTATCAAATTTTTTTTTACATTCTACTGTTGTCATTTCTTAATTTTGATTTATTCATTTTGTTGTTGTGTCAATCAACATTACAGAAAAACAAGTTTTCTTATGGTGTTTCCATAGCTGATTTTCATTTGCAAGCTATTAAAATTGAAACTGATATTTTCAATTCAGATCTAAAAATGACATTTTTTATATTCAATAAGATTTTACTGAATATAAAAATTTCAAAAAGCAAACAATGTGAATGTACTTTTGAATAGACCTATTTTGAACCAAAAACTAAAACTTTGGAGGGTTTGATTGACAATCTTTCATTTTTTAAAATTCAGTCAGAACTTGAAAGTATATTGGAGAGCTCAAATAATTTGTGTCTGTTTTCTTGCTCTGTTCAAAAAATGTGGATGAGTAAAAGCTGTGCTTAACAAAACTGTATTGCTTTGCAGCACAATTCCTATATAAAATGTCAACAAGGATAGCAATAGAATTATACTGAGAACTCTCATTGTAAAGCCGTAGATTTGCACTTAGCTTTTAAGTAGTTCCTAAGCATTTGTTTGGCCATTCAACCGTTCAACTGTGCACTTTAAAGCAGTAACATTTTTGATAGACCCTTTGAAATATTGCTAATGTTATTGGCTTAAATAAAACAAAAAAATGCTGGGTGAGAAACAGGACAAATACACAGCCTCCTTGAACATTACAAAGATCAAAATCACAAACCTTTTCTATGATGACATTTTCTTAAAAACTTTTGAATCATGGCCTAAAAGTCAACAAAATCTAAGTTCCTGTTCTCAGACTAAAGTGTTCCATTTGCGTGTAAAGAGAGCTCCATATAAACAGTGCCATAAAGTTAATGTCCATATAGACTTTACTTATAATGACCTCAATATTGTTCTGCACAGCCTGTCGGAAAGCAGAACTTAGAAGTTAAAAATAATGTTGGGTTTTTTCCACAGTTAATGAATGCCTCACAATTTCGTACTATCATTGTTTAGGATATAGTACAACCAAAAATGTGATTCACTTTTTGTAAACAGAGAGAAGGAGAGACTATCTTCTTCAAATAGCTTATGAGCGCATGGTCAAAAAAAAAAAATGGAAAAAGCAGCTTGTATAAGGAGATGTTTAGAGGCTTTTTCTTCTATTCAGAGAAATAACATTTTTATTTAAAACAAATAGACCTCTGTAACTGCATTTTGCAATTTCTCCACTGTGAAAAGCCCCCACATTTTCAGTGTGTGGTGTAGAGGATTAAAACGTAGTGTCATGTAAATAACAGCATATTCTTGTTATGTTACGGGTTTTGGAGCTATGTACTTCTGTGATTGCATCCCTATCCTGTAAAAATGTAGACCCCTGGTTAACAGGCTAAAGTTCAGTTAAATTAGGAAACCAGCAGACATTAAATATGCACTTCTCGGAGATCATGATTTTGAAGTACCAGCTAAGTCATGGAAGCACTGGGCATCAGGGATGTGATTTGATGGTAAACACGCACATCTAAGATGATCGGGTTTCTGTAGTCATGTAAGAGTCATAGGGATCTGTAGGGACCATTTTCTGGAGCTCTTCAGAGACACTTAGTGTTTTATTAAAGACATAAAGGACATCTGTGATCTGAAGCACTCTAAAAGCCATGATTTTTTGGCAGTAAAATGTCAATGTCTACATGAAAAGGTCTGAATCTAGTCTTAAATCCTTAAAATGCAGTATCAATGTGCTCTACTACAATAATTGAAAACATTATAGGAATCATAGTTTCAGAAACTGCACTGTAGGCATACTTTCTTTTCCTCTAAGAAAAGGCATGCCACAATGTAATTAATCTCTGTGGTCTGTTATCAGGTGTTTTCTTAGCTTAAGGTAAACCACCAGATTTACTAAAAACTATCAAAAAAAATATGAGGGTGTATTGGGAGAAATGTAGATGCAAAAGGGATTCGCAAACAGCAAGGTATATGACAAAGAAAGTAAGCAATAGAGTTATAAAAGGAGATGAGGGAAAGGAAGCTAATCATAGTGCATGTTACATTTCTTGCTTTCAGGTGCTAAAGTTGACGCAGGGATAATATTGATATGGGAAGCATAGTGGGCTTGAGACACTTTTATCTTTATAAATTCTCCAAAAGGGCAAACCAGACGGGTACTGAGTTATAGCTGAGAAGGTGATAAATACTTCTGGCACAGAAGTAATATATTTTATTTATTGTTCTTTGTCTGTTTATACTTTGGCTAACCCTCACTGAACTGCAGTATATAATACACTTGTAGCTGAGCAAATAAGCAGAAGCATGAGGCATGGGAAAAAAAAAAGAGAAGCTTCCCGATTTTATACCCCACAGAGAATACTATTGCTTGATAGATGACATCCTCAAAAACTTTCTCAAATATATTGTTCTTTATCTTTTAATGAATGCATCACCTCAGGGTGTCAAAAGGCACACTCTACACTTCCCTCCGGGCCTAGTTGGGGGACCTTTACCCAAACCCATCATCTTCCTCAATGTGGTTTTGTTGCTGTTGTTTAGCCTCAGGACAAAGATGATTCCCAGCAGTTTAACATTCGTGATAGTCAATGTATTGCAGCAAGTTTTGTTTGCTGGATGGAGAGTAGGAAGTTGCAATCAGTGATACTAAACAGCTGTTAGCATCTCTGAAATTCAGGAAGAAGTAGACAATAGATCTTCAGAAGTATTAAAACTAATATCCTTATCAAATTGTGTCTCCCAAGTAATCATAGAAAATAAGATAACTGGATAGAACCTCAGGACATATACAAGTAAATTTGGAGATCCAAATTGATATGAAAAAGATAAAACAAGGCTTCAACAAAACTATGGCATTTTCTTAAGAGTTCAAAAGCTGAATGAAATAGAACTGATCTTGAACCTGAGCCACACTGTAAGTGGAAGTAGGCATCATTTGCTTTTACTTTCAAGCAGTCTTTGCTGCCAACTTCAATTTGATAAAAGACATCCTTCCTACACAAATTCAAAGTATTTTAACAAGGCTTAATCTTCCATCTACTTATTGTAATCCAAAATTTTTCTTCCTCTTTCTACTCATGATCTAATTGCTCAATAGGGATGTGGTTGTCCCAAGAAATTTCAACGTTGACTCTTTGGCCTTGGAATATTCACAAACTGGTCTGAATTATCAGTTTCTTTTCATAACCTTTTGTTAAAGGCATATATTAATTTCTATAAGAAATACTGTATTAAAAGTTGCATCATACTGAGTTATCCCAAAATTAATTGGAAAAAGCTAAATATCATATCAAACTTATAAAAAGTAATCTCAGTTTCTTATTTTTCTGTATTCCATCACTACTACATGGAGACTAAAACATTGCTTAAAACTCCATCCACTTTATAAGTTTCCAAAGAATTTTGTTTCTTAGGGAGTTCCAGGTAATTTTATTTACTCTTTCTCTCTCATCCTACATGTTGTTCTGGATCTGTCCTCTTCTATCTGACAAACTGTGTAGATTGTACTTGAGGATGTGCTTTAGGAAAGCAGAGAAGCCTAATGTGCCCGTACCTATCTGCATGCTTCTTGCACAAGGTTTTGTGCAATAGGAGGGAGGGAACAATAAACTTCCTGTCTCAAAATAGTGACACAGACAGGTTTGGGTTATGCTCCAGAATAGGGTGGTCAAAGCACTTGAAGAGACTTGAGTGCCAACATTTGTCTGATTCATCCTTCACGGGAATATAAGTGATCTGGGACTCCAGGTGTGGGCATGTTTCTTTTTCACATTTCTGCAGGTGAATTGACTTCTATTAGATTACTTTTGGGTGCCAAAAGAGGAGCCGAAACTGATAAAGCTCTTAATATTTTGTATTAGAAGATCATTTGAAGTTAATAACCGTAATATGACCTATACCAAAAAAAATAGCATTGCTTCGCATGGATACCGCATGAGATACAAATCTTCCTTTTTTTTCCCTTCCTTTTTGTTTTCCACAGAATTAGAAAGTTTTTGGGCTCTTGCTTTAATTATATCATTTTTCATTTCATTTCCTAATTAGAGCTCAGCAATAAAATTATTCAAATCTTCCAAAACATACATTTACTCTTCCAAAATTCATATGCCCCTTTGACACAGTATAACCTGTATAATCGTTGTTATAGAACAAATCTCAAAAATTGTGCTATCATTCTGCAAAATCCAATTTTGTAGAAAAATATTCATCTGCCATGTAATCTATGAAAAAGAGAAACACAAATATGTCTTCCAAGCCATTGCTTGTGTATTAAGTTGCACCACATTGTACCTCTGCTGTGAAACTTTATTGCATTAGATGCGAGCCTGCTCAGTCTCTTAAGTGAGAGAAAGGTTTTACATGAATATGTAAATTTTAAAATGGTATAAATATTTTGTATGTCTGCTTACCTTTAACAGCTTCTGTGTCAAAATTATTTTTTTTTTAAAAATTACATAACTAAGGATCAGACCAAACTCCTTTCTGTACAAGAATGAGCTGCATTATTAAAAATCCTGCTGTGAGAACATGGAGCTATATCAACAGGAAGGAGTTAAGCTCTGGATTCTACATTGAATGAATCATACTCGCTGCATATCTAGGCTGTCCTCGGAACACAACAGATCTCCATGTGGTACTTATCTAAACTTCCGGTTGTAACACTGATCTCCATTTAGCTTTTATTTACTCTTTCTTGGACACATTGTTATCTTAAATTTGAGTCCAGAATGTAAAGACTAACTCTTAAGTTATCATTATTAAATTCTTGAAAATCAGCAGTTGTCCAGGTTTTTTTCATGTCTCCTTCTGTGATTTCTCACAGTATTTTCTTTGATGATTTTGCCACTTTACTTGGTTCAAATACACTGAATTAAACCAGATAAATCAAATTGTGCTATAGTTACACTTTACTATAAGAACATAATTTTTGTTAAGAATGAATATAAGTAATTTGTATTGTGCAATAGTTAATATCTTATCTATGCATTAATTATTTGCTTTTTGAAAACTGATAGGTCTGTGAAAAATCCATTTTCCTAACAATTTATAAAAAACTGTGTGTGTACAAATACAGAACCTCTTGTGGGTGGATAGTAATTTTCTATTTTCAAGCAGGTATAAAACTTTGCATTGCTTCCAAGCTTTCATCTAAATGGCCTTTTGGTCTTTCTGTGTTATCATAAGATGTATTACTGTAGCAAAATAGTTCTTCAGGTTTTTTGTTGGTTGAAACAACTGTCATCTTTTCCTCTGCTGCGTGTTGACATTCTTGGCTGGACTTTGCAGATCATTTGTGACACTGTTCTCTGTCTTATATCTAATTGATCCAATTTTCTCATTGGATAAGATAATTTTAAATAGTAACTTTTTTTTTTAATTATTTTACAGTACCATTTGAGGAAAACAGTTATCAAGATGAAGATTTACTCTGCCTCTGTATGAAGATTAGCTGTGAAGGTGTCCATATGTTCAGCAATTCTGAGTAGAAATACTAAGATGCAAAGGAGGATGCCCTGTGATGTGAAAATTAAGCAAAGACTGAGGTAGAAATCCTTCACCTTTTGAAAGGTGAAGTCCTATCCAGATGCTGTATAACAATAAAATCTACTCAAAGTATTGTCATTGGTTTTTTAATTGACCAATCATTAAAGAACTGGAATGTTAGGCTCTGAATTTTGCATCAGATACTAGAATGCCATCAATCAGCACAGCTGCATGAGATCCAGTGAAGGAATTCAAGCTTAAAAACTGTCAAAGGACCAATATTCTTTAATTCTCCCAGTTCTAAAATTTCCTTAGAGCATGTCATATGAGGATAATAAATGCCAGGTCATTGTCTCCCAGGAAGCCTAGAAGAGTATCATATTTGTACCTTTGGGTCTGGATACTTGTCTAACTAAATAGCTCTCAAAGTGTCAGAAAAAAACAGTATTTCACATTTGACTGACTGAAAAGAGCTAAGTTATTATGAATTCTTGGGAAAGGAAGCATGACTGAATTGAGAGCAGCAAAAAGATGGTTAAGAAACTCAGAAGTGGAGATTTGTTATGAAAACACTTAACTTAAACCTCTGCAGATTATAATTTATTACTCACAATTCAATTAAAAAAAAAGAGCTAGGTTTAAGCCACAAGCCTGCTAGGCAATATTTTGGATGTGGAATATTAAACAACAGGAAGTGAAGGGAAGATATCGGCTGTAGCATCATGGTTGCTCATGTTCTTAAATGAATCAGAGCAACTTAAATTTCATCACTGAAATTTAACATTACTGCATGCCCTTTATAAATGAAATCAATAGTGAAACTTGTCTGGAATATGAAAAATAACAGATCACCACTTCAATTAAATAGGAACTTTTAAAAGATGAGAAGGCTGTCTAAACTAAACTGGTATAAATCCTGGACTGTTTAACAGATTGATAAAACTTTATTTACCAAGAGCCTTCATATTACAAAAACTATTTTTATGTTTACCTGAAATGATGATTTACACCCTAATCCCTTAACTAGACATGGAAACACATAAACCACCTCGTTCCCACTGCTTTATGTTAACTCCAGACTTTCTAGTCTTGATTTTGAGAAACTGCCTAAATTTTCCTTTGTCAAATAGCCTTGTTAGTTCTTTTATTAGTTGTTATTGCTGGTGTTGTGTTCATCCCCAGAAGTATCTGTTATTGATCAGAGTCCCCAGTTCTATGTTAAGTATTTAACAGAAAGAAGGTGTCTTGAAAACCTACCACAGAAAATGATATTAAGGTCATCTAAACCAAAAGATAAATGTTAAGATGATAGTATAGTTTGTTGTAGAACTATAGATTCATATGGGGGAGATGTTCACTTAATCACAATACCAGAAATATACTACAGCTGTTAATCACTCTGCCCCAAAATTAATCTCAAGATACTCTAGCTTTGAAATTCTAGCCATAACTCATCTTACAGGAATATTGTAGGGTTTGACTTTCTCGTGACTTCTACTCTCCTTAGGCTAAAAAATAATTGCTACATTTTCACTTTAAGGGGGCAGTGCCCACATAGGGCAAAAAAATTGGATACTGAGTCCTATCTGTGGTGCTGTTTGCCAGAAAATTTAAAAAAAGTTACCACTGGTCATGGAAAAATATGTCAATGTAGTAGGAGCTAGACTACCAGAGTGGTGGCAGTGGGTGGCAGGAGGGGTGGAGGCAATACATGGAAAGAACCAATGCCATGTTTACATATTAGGCACAGAAGCCTAGCTGTCTTTACTTTTTCGTAGTTTGTTCATCTTAAACTTTTTCATCACTTATTGACAACAAATCTCATGTTAAAACAGAACTACTAGATTTCTGCAACCTTTCCAGCAAGTAGACCACCACAAATCTGCTAACATTAAGGTATTAAATATATATTCTGTCTCAAATAGTGTGTAAGCACAATTTTTAATAGAATACAATCAATAAATTAACAGGACACTTGTTCTGAGTTATTGGAAGTCATTAGAAAAAAAGTGGATGAGGACAAATAATTTAAATATTAAAATATTCTTACATGTTATATAGTTATATAAATTATGTATTATACACACTTGTCTATTATAATTTTTATATAAAACTTAATGTAAATTAAAATCCTGTGAATTATTACTATGGGTCTAAAGAATGTTGTTAATACCCTGACTCTACCAATGGTGTCCAAACTGTATCATTCTTCCCTGTGCTAAGACAAAATTTCTGTCCTACTCCCAAAACCCAAATTCAGAATACATGAATGATATACATCAGCTGGGTATGTTAAAATCTACTAGCAAAACATGCACCATTTTAGGTTAAAAATATAATCCAAGCTTTTTTTACTTGACCTAATATCTATTCTTATATTTGTACCTTTTTTTAATCAGTAAATGGCAATTTTTCCTTTAGTCTTTAGCCCTAGGCTTTATTGCATGAATGTTCTGCCTTGAGTTATATTTGCTTAATTTCTTCAGTTTGTGTGCTTTCTCAACTCGATACTCTCTCTCAGGTCTTTCAAAACACACTGCTCAGTCCTTATTTTTAATTAACAAAAAAGTGATCAACACTGTACTTGGGTGAAGGTGCTCTATTACAAGAGATGGAATATAAAAAGCATGATGAGAAGCTGATGTGTTTGATATGACAGTTATCAAAATCATCTATAATCTCGAAAATTAATGTTGCAATTTCCAGGATAATACATGATGTTTAAAAAACACTGATGTATTTAGATGTCTCTCATACATAGACTGATACAGTTATCATGCTTTCTGTTACTAATGCAGGACTTCACTCATCAGAAAAGATTTCTGTCTCTGGTATAAACCTCAGTCAGTAAATGTTCCAAAGCATTAGCTGTTATTCAGAAAAGATACTAAGAATGTTCCATTTCACCAGAACATTAAAAAGCTTTCAAAGAGTACAGAATGCAATTACAAAAATAAGAACCAGGTCACAGCACTAGAACTGCTGTCCTGACCCATGCAAAAGCAGTGGTTGTTATTTTTTTTTAAATGATGACTGATATTAAAGATGTGACATAGTGACTCAGTAGATACGTACACTGTTCAGGAGGGAGCCAGACAAAAAGATCAAAAGTAATTTTTAAGAACAAAATTAAAAATGTAAATTAAGGCTTGCAGTTAGTTTTTATATATTTATCACTCTCAGACCTTGTACAATCAAGAATGCATGAATTATGAGGACAAGGAGCAAGTAATCAAGAGATAATTTAATCTATCATAACTGTAAGAAAATGCAAAAAAGGGAGCAGACTTGAAGTTTTTCCTTGTTATCCTTTTAAGTTTTGAACTTATAACACTTTGTGGCAGTTGTGAAGTGAAAAATAGTTCTTTTCTTAGACCAGCTTTGCCATTCTAAACAGATAAGAAATTATACTCACTAGAAACTGCACTTTCATATCAAGGGCGATTGTCTTAAAGTGGATCTGAACAAAATCATCCATATCTTTGTTGGAGGCTGTAGTTACCTTTTTATTTTAAATGTTTCATAGTGTATAGCCTTTGTTGCAGCTCAACCACTTGGAGATGTGAGAAAGCAGCCTGCTGGTTATGGAAACATAGAGTAGCGATGATGTGGCAGGGGTCACTATATGTGTTGAAAAAATAGATGTACTGGAATGGAAATTATTGTACTTCCTTTTTGGGTAATTGTCTGAGTGGATTATTCTAATCTTAATAATTCCTATATGTTTTACTCATCAGAAGGGAAAAAAAGAAGAAAAAATACCTCGTAGCAGGTCTGAAATCTTTTAACAGAATGTTTTGGCTGTTGAGGATGCAGACCAAGGTCCAGGAAATGCCTGCTCAAATCACAGAACCAGGAATATTCATTAATTTATATCTTTTTGTTGAACTATTGAGTACAAATGTACTTTTTTTATCTGTTGTGATCAAACTGGAAAACTTTCTAAATGTCTTTGCTCTCTTTGTGTGAAATGATAACTCTTGTACAGTTCCATTTCACCTGGGCTGGGATAAATATTTGATGAAAAAACATGAAGATGCATTGATTAAATAAAACCAAACCCAATGCTATCTCATAAAAAACTACCCCTGGGAATGACATTGTCCTCATGAGAGATACTGCCCTTGAAGCAAAGAAGGTCATCATCATCTTGGGCTGTATGAGAGTGTAGCCAGTGTATATAGGGAATCATACTTCCAGTTGCCCTGGTGGGACACATTTGGAGCACTGTGTCCAGTTCTGGTCTCCCCAGTACAAGTAAGACATGCAAACTGGTCAGAGAGCTGGAGCACTGAACATACAAGAAGAAACTGAGCAAGTCATATTTGTTCAGCCTGGAAAAGAGAAACCAAAGGGAAACTTTATTGCTGTCTACAATTACCTCTCAGAGGATATCAAGAAGACAGAGTTAGACTCTTCTTGGACATGCACAAGAATAGGAAGAGAAGTTGTAGACACAAACTAGAACCTGAAAAATTCCAGTTAATTTTTTTATTTTTTAAATACCAGAACATTTCCTCTGAGAGGCTGTGGGTTCTCCATCCTTGGAGGTATTCAAAACTCAACTGAACAAGTATGGGCAGAGGTGCAACACCAAGCAAACTCAATTCTCTGCTTCCAGGGGCAGCCTAGTTCTTCAGGAGTACCACCAGTTCCATCATCACAAAGGCTAAGGTCATAAGCCCTCCCAGAACTTACCAGGCCCCACACAGGAGTTATAGTTTTGGCAATTGAGTAGATAAGGGAGTGGCTTAGGGTTTCAGGACATGCAGACAGTCATTTCAACTGAGTGTCAGCAGCATTACCTGGAAAAGCTCTGGTCTATCTGCTCTCATGTTTTAATTCTTCAAACAACTGCCAGGCCATGTGTGAGTTCACAAAGCAATTAGTACTACAGTGTAAAAAAACCCAAACAGGCTTCATCTAGTTCTCTTGACTGTAAACAACATATAAGCATTGAAGTAAAGTTCTAGCGTAGTCAACAGCACTGAGTCATAGTGTCAAAGAATCATAGAATGGTTTGGGTTGGACAGGACCTTAAAGACACCTCACACTAGATCAGGTTGCTCAAAACCCCATTTAATCTGGCCTTGAACACTTCCAGGGATGCAGCATCCACAACTTCTCTGGGC